ACGGAAGACTCACCAGGAAAGGGTGGTCAACGGTCAACGGAAGACTCACCAGGAAAGGGTGGTCAACGGTCAACGGAAGACTCACCAGGAAAGGGCGGTCAACATAAGCCTCACCAGGAAAGGGTGGTCAACGGTCAACGGAAGCCTCACCAGACCAGGAAAGGGTGGTCAACGGTCAATGTAAGACTCACTGGGAAGTATGCAGGAAGTGAGGAGTTGTGTGCAGCTGACACACGGTCTCAGCATGGAAAGAGAGGCTGTTGTTGCCACTGCTGGTAAAGAGAGGAGAGAGGAGAGGAGGTGTGGCACAACAAGAGGGTCAGCATGAAGAAAGAATGTTTGCAGCAACAAGGGGGTCTGCGTCGGAGTCGCAAGGAAGTCTCGGCAGTCTCTTCAACAACAACACATTGGTACAGCAGCTGGAGAAGGATGCAAAAGTAATTGAACAAAGGTACTCAAAGAGATGCGCAGTTTGCGGACAGTGCGTGGACGCGGAATGTGAAATTGCAACCGGGTGCGCTGTACTGTAAGACGTTACCAGATATTGCATGTTAAGACTTCACTGTTTTAGGATGTTTTTTGCATGCTAAAGCTTCGCTGTCTTTGCATGTTTCGCATGCTAAAGCTTACGCCGTTTGAGCATGTTTTGCACGCTAAAGCTTTTCGCTGTTTTAGCATGTTTTGCATGCGAAAGCTTCGCTGTTTGAGGATGTTTTGCATGCGAAAGCTTTCGCCGTTTTAGCATGTTTTGCATGTTAAAGCGTCGCTGAGCATGTTTTGCATGCGAAAGCTTCGCTGAGCATGTTCTAGTGTGAAGACAACTTTTTGGGGATGAGCTGTGGAATGACGGTCAGATACATTCTGGCGCGGCTGCAATTGGGGTCAGATACATTCAGGAAATTCCCAATGTCAGTCACCCAGGTGAGCTGTAGCGAAGACATTTCCAGGTACTACATGCTAGAGCTTCGCTGAGCATGTTCCAGGGTGCACACACTCGTGTTTGCAACTTTGTACTTCTCTTCAGAGCGGCAGACGGAGCGGCAGACAGAGCATAGAGAATCTCTGAGAGAGGGAGAGAGAGAGAGAGAGAGAGAGAGAGAGAGAGAACGTTGTTGTTATGTGCAAACAACCTTTAGCTCATCGTGCCAGCCTGCTTGTAGCATATATCTCCCCCCCCTTCCCACCCACTCCCCTCCYCCCCCCCCCCCCCCCCCCCCCCCCCCCCCCCCCCCCCCCCCCCCCCCCCCCCCCCCCCCCCCCCAAAAAGAAAAAAAAGAAAAAGAACATATCCAGTGGTGGATGGATGATAATGACTGTTGATGCTATGGGTGGACACTATGTATATTTCTGTCTTTTGTTGTTGCACGGTTTTTCTCATTCAATGATATGGTGCTTGGGAGTTGGTACGCAGTTTGTTCACATGCGTAACGGAGGTGGTGCATCTTCCCATCTTCTAGCAATACATAATTTGTTTTCGCATTTTTGCTAAGCTACCAGAGTGGCCCGGGTCCACTTGCCCGGGCGGGCCAAAAAAAGAAAAAGAATTAAAAATTTTAATGTAAATCTGGTACAGAATTTCGATGTGCCGAGATGTGCAGTATCTCGCAACAAGAAAAAATAGGGCATGAGATCGAGAGCATAGCGCACGTGGGACATCCATGAAATGGTGAAATACAGACCTGCGCTCCAATGCCGGTGGATCATGAATCCAGATAAATGGAGTGAAGAATTCGGTATTAACTGCGGCAAGTCATCCAGATTCATCCAACTAGAAACGTGTTTCTAGTACTTTCTGGTAGTTCTACACTACTATTTTTTTTCCGCTGTCGATAACTGGGTATGTCAATGATGATTTCGTAAACCACAAGGACTTGGCCCAGCTCTCAGCCCTGGATTTTTTTTTTTTTTGGGTAGAAACATTTCTCGTTGGATGAATTTGGGCACTCCTGTAGTGCTGCGTACGCTTCCTAAAATTGTGGTTTGTTAATGGGCACAACTTCAGGAAGCTGTGATGGTTTAAGGCCATCGCTCTTTTCACTTTTTTTCTTTGTTCTCTTTTTCTCCTTTTTGAAAAGGGCGAGGAGAAGGTTAAGCAAGCCTTTTTTTCTCAAGGCTGTCCCCCTTTTTTCCTTTTCTCTTTCGTCGTCTTTTTTTCTTTTTAAAGCACCTGCGTCGATGCGAAGGCATTGGAAGTAGGACCTTTATTTGTGTTGTACCCCTACCTGTTCTTTATACTCCATGGCAACCAGCACATCTCTCAACAGGGCTAGTTTGAGGGGTCTGGCAAAGAGGGCTGGTTTGAGGGGTGTGGGGAACAGGGCTGGTTTGAGGGGTCTGGCAAAGAGGGCTGGTTTGAGGGGTCTGGCGAACAGGGCTGGGCTGGTTTGAGGGGTCTGGCGAAGAGGGCTGGTTTGAGGGGTCTGGCGAACAGGGCTGGTTTGAGGGGTCTGGCAAAGAGGGCTACTTTGAGGGGTCTGGTGAACAGGGCTGGTTTGAGGGGTCTGGCGAACAGGGCTGGTTTGAGGGGTCTGGCGAACAGGGCTGGTTTGAGGGGTCTGGGTAGACTGTTCGACAAAATTGAGGATTGATTAAAAGCGGCGGTTGGTCTACATATTTTAGTGTCATTGCCCTGCCCTGCCCTGCCCTGCCCTGCCCTGCCCTGCCCTGCCCTGCCCTGCCCTGTTGTTTTGCCCTGCAAGCTGGGGGTCATGTGCTACTTGGAGCGAAGTGTGCGGTGATTGCGAGCGTCCGCATCCGTGTGGTGTTGTGTGTGCTGTGCGTTGAGTTTGGACGCTACAGCCTTCCAGGGGCGGGGTGGATATCACGGCCGGTGTGGTTCTGCTTTTGAATATCGCGTCCTTGCTGTCGTGGCTGCCATACCTATCTCCAAGAGGGCGAGGTCGACGGTTTTGAGTCCCCGTGCTTGCACTGAGGAGGGCTGAGGTACAGATCGAATAACACCTGCATCCTCCAGACTTTAGATGCTTTTGTACAGAACGTCACATGCAATTGGGGGAAATTTCACAAAAGGATGACAAGCAGTTCACCAACTTCACTCAAGCACGAGAACGTCACCTCTACTACTTGCACTAACATTGCTGATGCTAATCACAGGCAATGACCGTGGCCATCGTACCGCCAAAGAAAAACCAACAAGAAAAGGAATGTTGGAAGGAAAAGGAATGAAGCGGTGCTAAAAAGAAAAAGAGAAAAAAAAGTGCGCACCCATGGTTAACGGGGATCCCCAGTTTCAGCTCCTGACTAACAAACAGGTCCAAAACTGAAATTAGGGTTTGGGGGTCAAGTTTTATGTTTTTTTACTTTTTAAACCTTTTTTTTTCTGTTTTTTTTTGCCTGTTTGGGTTTTGGTTTAAGGTAGGACGCCTGGAAAGCATAGCTACCCCTCAGAAGGAAGCAGATACACGTTTTGTGGGGGGGGGGGGCACTGCCAATGCAGTTGAGAAATTTATTTACATCCTGATGTGTTCAATCCATTGATCACTTAAGTGATCACCAAGCACCTGTGCAACATTCCAACATCATACGAGTCTCTCACATTGCCAGTGATTGGTTAAAACTTAAAAATGAATGGATCCATCCGCGGCACAACAAGTCGCTGATTGGTTAAGGGCCTGCGCGGCTGCGCCATGATAATGCATGAATAAATGGTTAAGGGCCTGCTCCATGAATTTGCTTGGGCAATCAGTTGACATCCTCATTAATTTTGCACTCTATCGGTCGGTTAAAAATGGAATGGATGGACGAATGGCTGGGCCCATGCAAGAGAGCGCAAGTCGCTGACTGGTTATGGGACAGACTGTGCGCCATGCATCACGCGTATTTATTATCGAATCATATGGACGTAGTACGTGATGGTTTTTGTCACGATTTTTGTCCACTGTGCACGTACGCAAGTGCATGTGTATGTGATGGTTTTCATCATCCTCCGACTTCTCTCTCTCTCTCTCTCTCTCTCTCTCTCTCTCTCTTTTCAACAGCACAGCTAGGTTTTTGTCACGTTCTCTCTCTCTCTCTCTCTCTCTCTCTCTCTCTCGCTCCGACTCTCTCTCTCTCTCTCTCTCTCTCTCTCTCTCTCTCTTGCACAGCACAGCTAGGTTTTTGTCACGTTTTTTGTCTACCGGGCAGGGGACACAAGTACACAGGTACTGGATCCGGTGTTTCATCACATCCTCAGATTCGTCTCCCTCTCTCTCTCTGAATCCGGGGTTTCATCGCACCCTCAGATTCCTCTCTCTCTCTCTCTCTCTCTCTCTCTCTCTCTCTCTCTCTCTCTCTCTCTCTCTCTCTCTCTGTGCTGTTCTCGACTGTGGAGCACGGAAGCAGAGACATCAGAAGCAACTCCCCTTTCGGTTATACGGCATCCAATGGAGGCTGCACATGTAAACGATCCACAGCCTATTTCATCACAACAGCAAAAGGTGCAAATCTTGAATGAGATGAACAAGGATCCATAACAGCCATAACTGATATCAGGAAGAAAGGCCCCGCGAATAAGAAAGCAACCATAACTGATATCAGGAAGAAAGGAACCACAAATTAAATCAAGAACTAAAAAGTATTGAAAATGAAGTGAAGAAATGACAATGACCTGTCATTTCTTTCCACCCAGACCAAACGTTGGTGTAGTACCTGATGTCTTGTTACGTAATTATCATAGACCGTTACGTCGACACCCCCCGCTACGTACGTTGGCGAGCATTGCAGTTATCAGTCAATATCACAACAACCCTAATTGTCTCTCCTCCTCTTCGTCTACCCCTTCTAGCTGAGTGAATGTAGAAGACAATTTCTGGAACAGCTGTGACACACTGACTTGCTGCACACTGATATATGAGGCCAAGATTTGGTCTCCGGTCTCCCCCTTTGCTGAAATAATGTGTGGTTCTCATTTCTCATTCTGTCAAGTTGCGCACAAACTTTCTTGCATTTTCAAAATGCCTAAAACCAGAGTCAGAAAAATACTTCCCCTGTACACGCAGGAAGACGAAGACGCCTACCCTCTTCACCCAACGAAAACGCACTGTGATTATTGCTGCATCTGGTCGGAAAGTTGCCCCACATGAGAAGACCAGCATTCCCCTTTGCCACCTCAGAATGCACCGAACTAATCACACTACGAAAAAGTGCCATAGTTCTACCCGCTCCCTCAAGTGTGTGCACAGATGCTTCTCATCGTTCAAATGGCCATTGAGGAGGCAACAACAGCCACCCACCCCTCTCATACTACCCGACGTGCGTGCACAGGTCGCATTAAAAGTTTAAAACACAATTCATGCATATATATTGAAGGCAAACATTCAGCCCTAGCAAACCCCTCTCATTCAGTTCCGCATCGAAATTAACATAACATGAGCTCCGCTTTACACATTTAATTAACCAGAATCTCACACTTTGTGGCCTCTGACTACAGCCGCTACATTGCGTAGAAGGCACACACAACCACATCATACTATCATAGATATCCGACTTCCCCCCCTCCGATAGCAAACATTTACGCAGACCATTGCGGATGCCAACACCTACCTGTACAAGTTTTATGGACATAAAATTCCCTGCTCAACATAACCCCCAAGCAACTCTGCTGAAAACCGAAGAAGAAACCTTTGCTCTAGCGCCGCTTTGTGCTGCGATCGGACTTGAAGAGGATTGTTCACATTCAGCGAAGGTTGCTGGAGCAGTGAGACGAGCGTATTAACACGACCTTCGTCTCCGCTTTTCGCATGCATGTGGACAAGGAGCTCTAGTATAGGTACCTGAACCACAGCCACAAAATATACACTTTGCATCAACATGCATGTTGTGGATGCATCAACACGCATCGACATTCTGTTCCTCCTTTCGTATGCCTTGCTCCATGACTTCACAAACATGTGCAAAAAAAATAACGAGTATATATCGGTTCACACAGATGGATGCTGTCGCCAAACACACAAAAAAGGACCTCTCTGGTTTTTCACATGGGCATCTAGGCAACCAAAGTGAACCGGGACCAGTTGCCCAGACGCGCCAAAAAAAATTCAAAAAAATACTAAATATTAAATATTAAATATTCAAATAATAAATAAATATTTTCAAAATTTCGTCTTAATTTTCAATTTGGTAAAGCATGTCCATGTGACCCTGAGGCAAAAGTTATCGAGTTTGTTTTTCTCATTTTTCTCCATAGCAATGATAGCATAGTTTTTTTTTTTTTTTCATGGTTACGGTGATGGTTACAATCTAGATCGTCAGCGGGACCGCGGTGCAGACGGTCTGGGTTCAGAACATGTCCGGATCTGGTGTCCGGTCCAGAGTGTCCGGATCCATCCCCCTCAACCCATCCCCCCCAAAAAAATTCCGCTTAAAAAAAAAAAAATCAAAAAAATCTCAAAAAAGGTATGTTCTGCAGCATTGCAATACAAAAATCTTTTGGCTGAGAACCGTCTCCAAATTTGTACAGACACAGGTCCGCCCGGACGTCTGGACTGGTCCAGTGTCCAGGTCCAGCGTAACCATGTTTTTTTTTTTTTCCCTGGGTTTTCTTTTTATCTGAGACCCCGACACATCCCATCACATCCCATCAACATTCTCGTTCCTCCCGTCATAAGAGTTGACACCATCTCTCCCCTCAGCTCACCAAAAACGTGCAAATTTGCAAAATGGCAAACGTACATTTTCACAGAAGGTGACCGGATACGTTCCCCATTTTCCACATTTGACAAGCAGTGGACCAATCCTCATAATTCCATCTGCGTTTCACAAATATTCCTTGTTCGAGACAAAAAAAAAAAAAAAAAAAAAATCGAAGTCTTGTCTTACCAAAATTGGAAATAGGGAGGGGACAAGAACAAGAGTGGTGTGGGATACAATTGACGCACCAAAGGATACCCTGCAGAAGGCGAAGGATGTTGACATATGATTAGGGGTGGGGGTGGGGGAAGGGAGGGAGGAGAAATAAGGAATGGAAAAGAAAAAGGACTGATTTGGCACAGGGGAACCCGCCAGTTGTAGGGCATGGTTACGCCGGACCTGGACATCGGACCAGTCCAAAGGTCTGGCCGGACCTGCGTCCGGACTGCTGCAGACCGTCCGAATCGAAGGAAAAAAAGTTTTAAAAACTTACTTTTTATTTGCAAGGGTTCTGACTGACCACGTCTTGCCAGAGTGTATCACAATGCATGCAACGTCACCCTTCACACAGATTATGACTCAACACACACAATGCAGAATGGGGATGAGATGAGAACCAAGTCGCGCAGCTTATATTATCTCAAACACATTATAAAGAGTATCCCGAGTTCATGTATCCAAGCGCTCAGCAATCATGATATGTCCCTCTCCCGAACATCAGCTCAATGGGGCCTGGCTGAGCCAGCGCCACCTCTCAGCAACTCGTCAAGCGCAGAACAGGTAAGTAGTCACCATAGCCAACTCGTCATCTTCTCTCTCTCCTTCCTCAAGATCTCAGTCTCAGTCCTCTTCTCTCATCATGCATGCTCACTCCTACTTCGAGAATCTGCTCTGAATGCTACTCACTGTAGACTAAGTCCTAACCCACTAACTATACTAACTCGAAGGGCTGCTATGGCTGCTACTTGCAAGCCAGCACCCAGTCTTCTCCTTCTTTCCAGCGCAGCTTCCTCTTCCAGCGCTAACCCAGCCAGCCAACGCACAAGTGCATGCAGCACTTCCACGCAATACTGCCAGTGGGAATCTGATGTCAAGGGAGGCCGGCCTATTGCTTTATACTGCTGGCCTCCCCTGGCGAGGTCTGCATTGGTCTGCATTGGCACTTTGGGCCTCCTTCAGTCCCAGACCCATGCATATGTGTGTGTCCCAGTATTTTCCCCTCAGRGTCTGCTGCTGCTGCGGCCATCTGGCCTGGATTTTGGACTGGGTGTCTGAATCTAGACCCCCCTATTAGACTTCCTTTTAGACAGACACACATTCTGCACGAACAGACACCCATACTGCACGAACAGACACAAGCTGCATAGCCCCTGGGACGAATGGTCACGACTTTCTAGACCAAATGCTGCAACCCTTCGTCCTGGGGGTTTGACTGTGTCTCTTGACAAGGCTTCTCTTTTCTTTAGGATGTGACTGTTGACCCCAAGTCAGTGACTGTTCGTCTGCTTTTTGCGCCCAGGGTCTTGGCGAGTAACCCCTCTTCATGCTGCATTTCTCGTTCAGGGTCTGAATCGGGTAAAGGCCCTTTTATATCAGTTTTTGGCTACGAATTTAAAAAAAAACGTTTTTTTCTTTTCTTTTTTCTCTTGGATTTGGCTACGAATTTCGAGATGGTCCTCAGCCAAAAGATTTTTGTTTTGCAATCCTGCACAACATATCTTTTTTTTTTCAGATTTTTTATCATTTTTATCATTTTTTTTTCTTTTTCTAAAGTCGAATTTGTTTTGGGGGGTGGGGGTGGGGTTATGGGGGGGATGGATGGGGACACTCGGCACCGGACACCAGACGCGGACACCCAGACCCAGACTGTCTGCACTGCGGTCCCAACGTCCGGATCTTTACCCCAGGTTATGGTGTTACCCCCATAACCTGGGTCTCAAGGTTATGGGGGGCGACGGCTCTCTGTGCGCACGGCGCAGAGGGTCGTGAAGGTTATGGGGGGTGGACGCCAATCGGTTCCATGACATGATCATATCTCACAAGGCCCTCGCCCCCCATAACCTTCACGACCCTCTGCGCCGTGCGCACAGAGAGCCGTCCTTCAGGTGTGCATACAAGGGGTCTATACTGCCTCTATATTCTCCTACGCCCTGCATGGCACAGAGGGGCGTACGAGGCTATAGGGGTCTATAAGCCTTCAGGTGTGCATACAAGGGGTCTCCTACGCCCTGCACACGCACCATCCACGCATGTCAGTACCAACGTGTTATCCGGGTCCCAGTCGCTTCAACGAATGAGGATATCTCAAGGCAAATGTGTTAATCCTCAGGCCGGTCAGTTCAATGTTCATAATTCGAGGCAAATGTGTTAATCCAGGGGCCGCTCGGTTCACTGATGATATCATAATAATCATATCTTTTTTTTTTCTTTTTTTTTTTTCAATGATGATATCTCAAAGCCGTCGCCCACATAACCTTCATACGGCGGCCACGTAACCTTCATACGGCACTTTGGTGATGTTTGTTCAATTATTTAAGTGGGGAGCAGAGGAGAGCACAGATCCACCACCCACCTCCCACAGACATTCGAAGTAGGCGGCTGCATCTCTATCGCCAATGATCGAACTTTCCTGTAGTGCCTTGAAAGCTGTCTCATGGTCTGCGACTGGGAGACACTGACAGAGGACAGCTGCTTGCACCGCTGCTCCGATCGCTCTGCAGGCGACGACCATCCGTTTGACCTAGATAGCACCCCAACCAAAGGCAGGAAATGATACCACAAGGTCCAAAAAACACTTCATAAGGAGAGGCAAACACCACGCATCCGCATGCGAAGACGCAAGATTGAAAACAGCCGCCGTACTTTATTATACCCTTATAGGAGATTATTCGAAACCACCACGACCTTTCTCACTGTTGGGAAAAGTGGGAACATAGGATAATCCGAAATTTTCAGGGGTCCGGCCAGGCGAGGGTCGGAGTCGAAGAAGATGAAAACGAGAGAAGAAAAAGAAAAAAGAAAGTTTGGGCCCTGTGGGCCCGGTTGCCTGACCACAAAAGAGAAAAGACCAAAGTACATCGAAGCACTCGTGAAGGGGGAAGTGTCGTCTCACAGAGGGCATACTATCACACAAAATAGTGCAAATTGTATCTGACCACTATTACAGTCCGATTCATTCTTCAAGTTTTCTGTTTTTCTTTCACTTTCCTTTTGTCTTTTTAGTGCCCTGCGAAACGAGGCAGGGCACTAAAAAGACAAAAAAAGAACAAGGTCACACTCCGCAAGGGGGCACGCTCACGCTAATACCACAGAAATTAACCTCACCGCTATAACGTCTTCAGTGCAGTTCCTTTTGTTTTTTTTCCTTCTTCTTCTTCTTCTTCTTCTTCTGTGTACTCCGCGCGGAATCCGACAGTGCAGTTCCTTTTTTCTCTTCAGTGCAAATTCTGGCACAGCTCAAAGTAACGAGCGCATTATCACACCTCTAGCGAAATGTGTCCGATGGGCATCATCGCCGTCATGTCATCGTTGTCGTTGCTGTGTTGTTTTTTGCCTTCTTTCGTGGATGCCACACGCAGTTTCGCTTTTGTTTTCACAGAGTACCACGAAATAAAACACAACGGGACCTAGGCTCAGCAAAACTCCGCACGCCATGAAATTCAGGGTCGGCATAAACAGGATCGGAGGTAGTGGTGGTTTTCAAAAACATTCTTGTCTTGATAACCGTGACGTTTGGATGAAAACGACCGTGGCCAGCGGTTTGGTTCTTTCAGCTGAATAGTGCAAGCCCCCCCTCGGGGCTCGGCCTCTGTGTGTGTGTGTGTGTGTGTGTGTGTGTGTGCGTGTGTGCGTGTGTGTGTGTGTGTGTGTGTGCGTGTGTGTGTGTGTGTGTGTGTGTGTGTGTGTGTGTGTGTGTGTGTTGTGNGTGTGTGTGTGTGTGTGTGTGTGTGTGTGTGTGTGTGTGTGTGTGTTGTGGATTGTCACCAGATCAACGGTCATCAACCCCTTTTCCACCCACCCAGATACATAGGTCCAAAATTAAAACAGCCTTTAAGGCTTTACCCTATAATAATCTGAGATCTCCGATCAAGTTATATATGGTATTTAAAGTTTAAACCATACCACTACTTCCGAGTCACTATTCTCCGTGGCTGGAAACGCGCTGCATGCCAACAAAAAAACCGAACCGGTGGGCCCCTCCCTTTGGCTGGGATTGCCAGCCATTTTGCTCCGGCGTCCGAAAGTTGCGGCAGCATGCAAGCCGCAACTTCCCAGCCATTTTGCTCCGGCGGCCGAAAGTTGCGCCAGCATGCAAGCCGCAACTTTGAAAAAATGGCTGGGAAACGTACTGGTGGTTTAATGATTGGGATATTTTGGTAAATATAATGTTTTTGGAAACGTCCGTTTGATTGGTTGTATTCTGAAAGGTGCATGGACCGCCACATCTGTGTACTTGAATTCGGGCGATGCTTGCACACCTGTTTGCCTTTCGGCACACCTACTACACCTCCTTTGTCATAGCGTTGCTCATTCGTTTGAAATTTGAATTTAGCAGTGCGGCACGAGGGGAGGGAAGAGGGGAAGGGGAGGGAGAGGAGGAGAGGGAGGAGGAGGAAAGGGAAGGGGGGAAGGGGTAAGAGGAATCTCATTGGGTCCTCAATTACACCCCGCCAGACCAGACCTGCTACAGACTGGCACAAGAGGTCCGTCATGAGTCGAGTTGCAGATAAAAATGAGCTAAGGAGCAGATGTGGCCTATGGTAAATGGGCACCTCTTCAGACTGGACAAGTGGGCTCAGGTACGGTCTGCAGAAGCACTGCATCCAATCGTTGCAGCTGAAGTTTCTGTACCAAATAGTGTGGAGCGCACAGATTTCACAGGCAACATGGCTCCCCCATGCTAGAAACACAGACTGCATGGCGACCACAATTGTATAGGCGCTACCGTCCCAGCCCGGTCTATAAATGGAACACACCATTTGCGTGCGTCGTACATGAGCACAATGTCGACTCCCAACATAGGTATGAAAAAAAAAAGAAACACAAAAACAGAAACTTGCATGGGGTACACCCTCATATGCGTGACCACCCATGGAATGCCGATCACATGCTCGCCAAGCAGCACGTTGGTCATCACAGTGCGGCATCGAGCAAGTTTCTTGGGATTCCATAGCCAAGCATGCCTGTCTGTGGCCAGGCAATGACGGGTCATGACAGGTCCCGAGTCCCAGTCCCAGGAATCCCAATCGGGCCCAAGCCCAGATGGTCGCAGGCCCACTAGGTCCCAGTAGGTCGAGTCCCAGGGTCAGTAGAGTCCCGTACGGGTCGGTAGGCCGAAGCATCGCATCCGGTGCAGTCAGGTACCGAAGCGTCTCAGGTCGGTAGATGTCTGCGGGTACCGACAAGAAAAGTCCCAAAGTCCAATTTTGCAGCAGCGTCCCAAGAAAGTCCGAAGACTTCCGGAATGACAAACATGCAGCAGACTGGCCACAGGCGACTGGCACCGGTCCGAAGCAGGCAATTCAAGTCAGTGGTTTCGAATCTTTCGATGTATAGCTGCTACAGTGCCAAAGGCACATCAGTTGTTCATTCGCAAGTTGCGGAGGCACTGCTGGTTGCTTGTATGATAATGCGACTGGGCGACATGTGCCACAGGGGAGAGACAGCGCTGGAAGTCAACCATAGATAGGGTTAGGAGCTAGGGAGAAGGTCGCTTGTGCGATGGTGCGACTTGGGCGACGTACGCCACACTGGAAGTCAACCATAGCTACATTTAGGAGCTAGGGAGAAGGCGGCCATAGCCGCAGAGGTGGAAGACGAAGTCAGCAGGTGCACTCAGGGTAGATCCAAGTAGGCAAGCGTGAGAGAGAGAGAGAGAGAGAGAGAGAGAGAGAGCTGTCTCTTATACACATCTAGATGTGTATAAGAGACAGGAGAGAGAGAGAGAGAGAGAGAGAGAGAGAGAGAGAGAGAGAGAGAGAGAGAGAGAGAGAGAGAGAGGTACATACCTGTTGGGTGGTTGTTGGGTCGCGGCCAAGGCCACAGGATACTCAAACTCTTTCATTGTATAATATCGTATTCTTGAGTGAAATTCTTCGTGTGCAGATTCATGTGTCATCCTTCGGCTTTCGTGTGAACTCTCATGTGAATGTTCTTCTCATGCATGCTGTGAATTGGGATTGGATCTGGGAGGTTCATTGCAATGATCAAAGGAAGGGTGTTTAGCTGTTGTAGGATCTAGTCTGCATCTGCTCGCCCTGCCGGCGATAACCTTTCAGAACGGTGAACTGCAGGAGATTCCTGTGCGTCAAGCTTCTGCCGTGCCCGTTCCTCGTCTGGCGAGGAAGGATAAGACCCCATTACAGGTGCAGCCAGAGGAAGTCGAGCATTACATGTGGGACATGATGTGGGACATGAACAAAGAGGACGTGGTGGATGATAGCACCAGACATAGTCTGCACATGAGAAACACACTCTCAATGACGGCTATCTGGCCGCACATGGCATGTTGTTGATGTGGCAGCAGGAAAAGTAGGTGCCAGGTGGCATGTCAAGGACACACTACGGCATACCGTCAGCCGCTGATAATCGGCTGAGGGGGGGTGATAGTAAGACAAAGACGGGTCACATTTTCTCACGGCAGCGGCTGGCAGTAGGCAGGCATCCCTTCATAGGTATCTGAGTAGAGATTATGCTGTGCACATACTAACTGGGCTGTCCCTGTATGTTCGCACAATGGCACGGTGCACCGACATTTCTCTGAAGGGCGGGCGTCATCGTCAGAGAGGCATCATCAGTCTGATCTGCATAGGCAAGTGCCACAGCCTGGGCAGGTAGAGGGAACGGTGGCCAGTCGGCCAGATTGTTCTCCAGAAGTGGCAGAGCTGACGCGACTGCGCAACCGCATACCGTCCCCGATTGATTAGACAGATCCAGTGGGACTACGCCACTCGGTAAGAGTGAGGGCTATCATAACCCAGCGACTGCGCACCCTACTCAGCCTACTGCCATTATCCCACAGGGTCTACCGATGAAAGGTAAAAACACCGGAGCGACCTGGCCGCCGCAGGGCGTATGCACGAATACTCGGGTCCATGTCACACGCATAACCGTGTGAAGCGGGCTTGGAGGTTCAATTGCTCTTCCCATAAATGTCATCAACAGCTTTTCCAAATTCACACCAGCTGCATGACTGTCATCCTCTGGGAAAACAGTACGGTGCTCCGCTGCTGTCCATCAGATAAAGTCTGCAAACAGTGTAAAGTAAAAAACAGTATGTGTAAGGGTTCCAATTGTCGTCGTGGATACACGCATTAGCAGCATAGCGGCCTCGCTGCAGCACAATGAGGCCATTTGGCTCCACAGATTGCATGGCAGGAGGAGGCTCGTCCCGTCTCAACAGTCTCGGCCAGGCGCTTCTGGGCCTGATCTCCATTGGCTCTGGTAAGTGTTCGGGAGACAAATTGTCGCCAGCCGGGGTATCATCAAATTATCAGACAGCACATCCATGTCATTGGGAGTAGGATGGGAGCAATCAGGCCGAAGCGAAGTGAAAGTGGGGGAGTCAGATGCAGGGAGCGAAAGTCGATCAGCTACATCTGTACCCAGTGTGGGTGCTAGCTGTGCAAATTTTGCACAGGTATTTGTGTGTGGCATTTTTCACACAGTGAATCAATTGCAAGAAATAGCAGGGGAGCAGCAGAGAGGGAGAGGGAAGGGCAGCAACTCATCATCATCATCATCATCATCATCATCATCATCGTCATCATCTTCATCATCATCATCATCATCATCGTCGTCGTCGTCATCATCGTCACCACCATCACCGCCATCAGCCCGATCGTCCTCCGCTTCATCCTCCTCTCTGCCTGGGATGCTGCATCACCAATCACCATCTACATTGCGCATGAATCATCATCATCCTCTTCATTATCTTCATCGTCTTAGCCAGCATCAGCATCGTCATCCCGCGAGTTTGTCAGATTGGGGTCACACTCCACAGCAGCAGCAGCGCCGCAACCATCGCCTGCAGTCATGATGGCCTTAGCAATTAATAACCATGTGCGTCTCCAACCCAGCAAGGAAAAGCACTGCTCACCATGACACAGCTCTGTCAGGATTTGCAGAGAGCAATTGCAGGAGCGAGAACTCTCCAAACCTGAGGGCAAGTTTTCACAACAGTAAGCTAAGGACAAGTGACGGCATGACGCACCTTCCTGTTACCTGAATGTTGAACATGCATGACCATCGACGTACGAGTTGAAAGTTCGCGCTCTTCGAGTCTTCGTCAAATATATATGGGTGGCAAGATGGTAGCAGTCATGGCACCATGGGGTTGACAGCATCAACAAAGGAAGACAGTGAATGAGGGTAACAGCATCAACAAAGGAAGACAGTGTAGCAGAAAGAACAAAGAGCTGAAAGAGGGCAACATGGAAGCATGGATGAGACAACTGCATCATAGACGAGAGAGGACAGACAAGTGCGAAGCAGGGTTCCAAACGGAAAGAAGGAAACAGGGAGAGGGAAGCCAAAAGGATGAAGAAAAAGTGATCAAAGTTCATCAAACCAATCTTTGAGCTTCTTACCACCCATGGAGTGAACACATCGCGAATCCTCTTGCGGTCACAGAAATAGCTGCTGCGAATTGCACCGGCCTGCAAGGATAAAAACTGTCAGCTTCTGAACTGTCCACATACAACAAGTTGCCGACAACTAATATCCACTCCGAAGGCATACTCCCATATTCCCTTCACACACACACACACACACACACACACACACACACACACACACACACACACACACAAGCACAGACACAGACACTCATGGTGTCGCCATTCTGGTTGAGTGGATTCATTGCATGTGTTTCACAGCTGTGATGAACTAGTTTGCCCAGTCCTATTGCTGTTTTCGTCAGGGGTTTCAACTGGGACGTTGAGCTTGCTGCACTTCATGCCTCTAGCCCAAATATTTGGGTACCTGGGAGGAAGAATCCGCAGCTGTCAAAGGCGTATTCAGAACAAATTCAGACTCCTGACTTCCAAAACAAGAACAAGGACTTTCAAAATCAATATCTTTGAGATTTTCTGTGAAACATTCGGCCAAAGACCATCCTGTTCAGGCAATTAGTAGAGTGAGGTTTGGATAGTTGATTGGCCTAACGGACAATTTCCATGATGGACCATGTTCCTGGCGGACCACGCAAACCACAGCACCGCTACATTCGATCTGACAGATGGATCTTGTTGTTCATATGTTACAGATGCTTGAGCATTCGACAAACTAACACCATCCATGCCAATACGAGGGGTTGAGCAGAAAGGCGTTTCTGGTCAGAGCAAGCAGGTATGATGCATCGAATCTATCCATCGATGTGCTCCTCCAGAGGCCTGTTCTTTAAATAACGATCTCTACTCTTAAGAGGTATGACCACCTTTGGTCAAGGACGTGTGTGTCCAAAGACATGCGTCACATGCATCCTGCACACATGGTCCGCGTCCAAACTCCTGACGAGTTGCTGAAAGCCCATACGCCGACACTGTCTGTCACAGTCATTCCCATTGCTTTTCCTCGACTCTGTTTGGTAAACATGACAACACACATACACATGCACACACACACAAGCCGACAAACAGAGGCAGGAAAAGAAAAAAGAACGAGAGAGACCCAGAGAGAGAGAGAGAGAGAGAGAGAGAGAGAGAGAGAGAGAGAGAGAGAGAGAGAGAGAGAGAGAGAGAGAGAGAGAGA